ACAACTTTGTTATCAGGAATAGGTCCTTCAGAGAAATGGGTTTCTCACGCGAGGCTGCATCCAGTGACACAATGTCTTTCCATTCATCGGTTTTCATGGATACTGCTTGCTAAACATATTATATTCAGAAAAGTTGAGCACTTAAAAATTACCCTTTGTGAGAATACAGAGAAGCAGTTTAAAAAATTCAGAGGGGCAAAATGGTGGAGCAAGGTTTCCGTTTGCGCTAACTCAGTCGAGGGCGGGGGGGGGGACCACGCGGCGGCGCGGCGCTCTGTTCGTCTGCTCCTCTAAGGCTTAGTCCAAGGGGCAGTTACTATTTCGTCGCCACGTGGCAGTTTCGAAATACGCGCCATCGGCGGACTAAGCCTTGGAGGAGCAGACGAACAGAGCGCCGCGCCGCCGCCTGGTCCCTCCCCCCACTAAGTCAGCACCGGTTCCGGTTCGTTAGAAAAAAAAGAACGTTGAAAAACGGCCCGACATAAAGCTCTTCTTCCAGTATTGGCTTTGAGTATTACACTTCACAACGAAAAAAAGGACAAAAAGAGGGAGAAGACGTTGAAGAGACATGAGGCAAGACAGACGAGCGTGACGGACGTATCATCGCAATCGGCAGCCACATATTCTTACAAGGTATAGCGCGGTCACGAGGCTCTGAAAGACGAGATTGCGATAAGTGTCTGTGCAGCAAGGAAGTACATGCACCAGTGCGAGTAGTAGGCAGGGGTCAAAGGAAGCGAGATGTGGCTTTCCGGGTCCAAAGGAGCGCTAGTTGCAGCGCCTTGGGGCTGCCAATCCTTTCTGAGCTCCGCCTCCGCCTGTTGCTACAAGGGAAGGATGGTAGGTCGAAGTGGCCGTTATAAAATGAAATGTATACCTCCTGATGCGTCTCCAGACGCTGATTCCAAATCTGCCTTCCAAATCTGCTAAACGACTCTCCGAACGGAGTTATGAAGCGTAATAGCTCAGTGGTGATGGTCCGGGGTGGCAGGTAAAAGCTCGTAGGATCGGTTCCTTTGCAAGTTTGTTGCTTTGCTTTTGTCCGCAACACTTCTAGAGACAAAAGCAAAGCAACCAATTTGCAAAGGAACCGATCCTACGAGCTTTTACCTGCCACCCCGGACCATCACCACTGAGCTATTACGCTTCATAACTCCGTTCGGAGAGTCGTTTAGCAGATTTGGAAGGCAGATTTGGAATCAGCGTCTGGAGACGCATCAGGAGGTATACATTTCATTTTATACGGCCACTTCGACCTACCATCCTTTCCTTGTAGCCCAACTACAGTGCGTACCAAAAGTATGTGGACACCCTAGAATCGATTCTCAGGAGTCAGCTAAAGGCTTTTTGTGTTATGAAACCTTCACCATTCAACTCCTAGTGGTCGATAACCTACAATGACATTTTCGGCAAAAGATTTCGTTCTAACTTAGCGAACTATTTTTCATGGAAAGTTTTTTCTTTGTATCAAAATTATGTGGACACCCTGAGGCAGATGAAGTTTTTGCATCGATTTCCTAACCTATTTTTACTTCTCCTTTCGTTACTTATTCTGGCATCATTCCTCTTCACGGCAAGCGTTTTTCTGAAGAAGACCGAGCACAGAAATGGGATCCCCATGCTTCTGAACCTTCCTATTGCGAAATAGCACGTCAACCAGTCATGCGTCCTCGTAGGTTTGGAGAGAAATCCGAAATCCTGATGCTAAGCTCTCGACCTTGACTGAGGGTTGTTCTCAATCGCTACTTGTTCAAAACAGGAGAAGAATAGCCTTAATTTTCTCAAATTATTCTTTTCGTACTACTCAACTTACGCATAAATGATCTTCCCGATCTTAAAAAAGACCAATCGGTGTCTCATTCAATCAATTGAGCACACGACACGAAAGAAGATGAAGAAGGCTTTGTATATGAATGCGGGTTCAGGTTGGCAAGGTTGGAATTCCCACTCAAAAAAGGATCACAACATGATACTTTGAACCCACACAGACAGTGCTTTCGTGGAAATGGTAAAATTAGTATAAAAGACTTTCTGTGGAAATTTCTTCATAGACCAACTCGACTGGCAGAAAGAAGCTTATTCCTTACTATTCGGGTGGGTCTTGAGGTTTTTGGAGAGACTTTGGTCGGACCCGCAGATGTGCTCGAAGAGACAATTCGGAAGATGTTCATCAAAGGTCTGGGGTGGTTCCAAAAGGAGGGGACATTGAAGTTTGGCTTGCCAACATGTCAGGTAGACGACTAGGATTATAATGAGGTGCTTGAGTCCCGGCTACAACCTTTTTCGAAAAGTCATGGTTGCAAATCACTTGTTTTGCAGGGGAGGTCCCTGACACCATTCCATTTGAAAAATGCTAAACGCAACGGCTTTGATTGGCAAGTCGGCTAGCGTATTCCTCAGACTTCATCCTTATTGAAAACGTAGAGGTATCGTGGTTCGCGGTCTCTACGTCATTGAACAAAAGAGTAATATCACAAGTGACCTAACACGTCGGTGAAATTTGCTAGTTGGGAACAGATCTGCAAGACATGTATCCAGACCCCATTCATAGCATGCCAAACAGAATGGCTCAACTTACTAGAAACTTTGGTAGGCCTACCGATTTCAGATTTGAAGATATTGCCGTTTTTCAAAAAGTGTCCACATAATTTTGATACAAAGAAAAAACTTTCCATGAAAAATAGTTCGCTAAGTTAGAACGAAATCTTTTGCCGAAAATATCATTGTAGGTTATCGACCACTAGGAGTTGAATGGTGGAGGTTTCATGACATAAAAGCCTTTAGCTGACCCCTGAGAATCGATTCCAGGGTGTCCACATACTTTTGGTACGCACTGTATTGCCACCGTATCATCGATTCGGTTATCATTGTAATAGGGTACTCCGCTTCCAGCGCGTATCCTACAAATTACCCATGGTCCTCACCAATCGAGGTTTGGCCTTTGCTAGTATTATGGCGGCTAACTTGTGCAAACGACCTCTCAGTTGGTTGCTAGCTCGTCCATTATCGGAGGTCGGGCAAAGGAAGAATTCCCATATTGCGCGTTCTAGATGGAATTCTTTGCTTTTTTCGCATTTTCGCATTATTCAGCATCCCCGCTTTCATTATGAGTCCCAACCCAAATATTATCGCGATCCCTCGTTTTAAGTCTGCGTTAGGACCCGGAGCCCTTACCACGCACCTTTCGAGACAGAGTCGGTACGGCGTCCGCGCTTAGCAGTCTGCCTTTCTTACTGAGGACTACTCCACTTAGTTGATCGTAAAATGTGCTCTCGCGTTCCACTGCAACACATATTCGAATGTCCCACACATAGCTTATCCCTTAATTTCCAATGTTTTCGACCGGAGGCCCGACATTCACATCAATATTCCCTTTTCATCCACATCGCGCTGCACTCAAAAGATGAGGACGTCATAAAATTTGACTCACACCAAGGAAGCAAATTCGAATACATTCGCAGAGAAAAATATAAGGAGGTGAATTTGTGCATTTTGCCTATCACCCTTACCCCCACTCCTCGGTCCGCATGACCTATCCAATCACATGGAATTACAATCAAATAAAAAAAAAACTACGAGCAAGGTCACACAAAAAGCGACTGACGGATCCCAAACAACTCCAAATCCGTTCCAGTCAAAATACAATTCCTCAGGAATGTTTGTTATCTGTGATTCATACATTTCCTGCAGTCAGTTCTACGATTTTCCGACAGGATTCCTGGTCGATGGACTTCACATTCACTAAACAAGACCATCCCTTCAGACGTTGTGCTTTTTTGAGAACATTGCCCGGTCTCCAGAACTGTTAACGGCATTTGTTTTTTCGGAAGGAGGATCGTGACTGTAAACCGGCCAGATGCCACTATTACCCAGGTTCACTACCTAACTCCCCACGATTTTTGACGCACCATGGATCACGACTTAGCGGCTGATTAAAGGCCCAAACGTAGGGCCTTCATTTCAGGGGGACGACATGGTGTCCTTGTCAAAAAGCCTCATTGCAGAGTTTGGCCTTTACTTTGAAAGCATTCACGACTGAATTCATCACCGCGCACTGTCCTTTTGGGGAGTTGTTATCGGTTTTTTTTTCTACTTTACTTCATTCATTCATTCATTTTCATGAGAAACTTCTATGTACAGGCCTTCTAAAAAGTGCTGAAAATTATTCAACAAGTCATCTATTCAAAAACTAACTCGGGGACTTTTTCAGAGAGGCGCGCGTTTTTGGGCTATTTCCTTGGAAACGCGGGTTTTTCAGGTTTCAACTGTCGTAATTTCCTTCTGAACCGATTTCGCGTAAAACTTTGAAAGTGCTAGAAAAGTACGGGCATACGCTTTGAAAATTTCACTCAAGCATTCGTTTCTCCAAAGAAATTCTTGTGTAACGATTTTTTTTCTTATGAAGTCCATCCGTCATTCTACTGCAGATTCTCTTCGTTTCATTCACTCAGAAACATCGAAGTTCTTCTGAAAGATTTTTCGCTGTGGTAAGAACTCGAATTCGAAGCGCTTTGCAGTAACAGCCCTGCCATGGTGTGCGCCGCGCCTGCGCTGTGCTTCTATTCGCCGATGCATTTCGAAGTCGATATCGATTTTCCCTGCTGATCACCGCGAATACGACCCCTTCCCACCTCGTAGACCATATACCCCTCGTTGGTACTTGTACCAACATACGGTTGACCCTGTGCTAGAGTCTGCCCAATGCACAGGAGAGCAACCTCATGGCCGCTGCTTCTCACACAAGTATCATCATCCGACCGCTGTACGCCACATTTTTTGTTTCTCCTCATCAACACCTTGGTGTTTCGCTTTACTGAAGTGAGAGAAAAACTTTTTGGTTTTCGGCATGGCTCCGACGCAGTTTTGAGCAACTTCATTTCTCGCTGTCGGCTTGAACCTAGACACCAGATGACGCTCAATCAACACACTGGCAGGTTTCGAGAATCTTTTCTACGAGAACATCCTTAGAGCATCAATTTGCGATTAAGAAAAATTCTCAAAAAAAAACAGCAGACATGCATTACCCATGAAGTGAAGAGTGTATTGTTATGACTTCCTGGAGCCCCAAAACAAAACCCACTATCAAAATGCAGAGATAAAGAACTAACCTCATACTCCATCGCGTTCACCTCCGTTTTTACGTGCAAGCCTCGCGGCTCCTGTTCAATTCTCACGGGACCGTTTTTGTGCCGATTTCTAATCTGAAATCAATCGGCCGATTTCATGGCATGTTAAAACTCCTGGTAATATCATCGCAAACATTATATGGAAAACGAAAAATTGAACTAAATAAAGTCAAGTGAAGAAAATAATGCTGGCCCAGAGTTATGAAATGCGCCACGGCGCGAATTCTACGCAGAATCGTGGGAGCATTTGGAAGAAACACTTCCTTTTGATTGTATTTCGAGGGTGAAGGCCTTAAAATCAGAGATTCCAGCATCAGTCAATATAGGTGACGCACTCTGTATTGAACAATATTTTTCAGTATATGTTCCAGCTGTATATAGGGTGCGGTTGAAATCTACATTTGAAATTTTGAAAAGCCTCGCTATATTATAAGAGAAAGGAGGTGACAAGATTCTTCAAATCGAAGTATCCATTATTAACGAACGAACCATAATCTACCGCTCAATTTGTATCAATGTGTACGTTGTTAACGATGGAATCATTTATACACTGACGACAGCGCCCTTCTGGCTTTTCAGCCACGAGTGGGACATGAGCAGTCTGGCGGGGGCCACCTCTGAAACGCGCAACCGCGTCTTCATTGTCCAACAAGGGGCGCTTTTCGCATCTAAACACCGAGAACATCAAAACAAGGAGTACAACTGGGAGTGAGGAACGCGGTACACAGCTCGTCTGCGTATAGCATACATTATACGAAGTTATACGAAGAATAAAAGGGTGTCTGAGGGATAGAGTCAGCGTAAGGAAAGCCCCTTGAAAAGTGCCGAAAAGCGGAATGTGCGCGTTTACACTATCTCCCTTAAAGGGCGCAATCAAGCTGCGTGTAGCGTCGCCGACTCTAGCCTCCCCTCAACCCTCAAGGCGCTCAAAAAGGAGGTTCAGCAGTTGTGCTCACGCATATTTCACCATTCGGACCACGGGTTTAATGCAGAGTAATGTATGATTCAATAATAAATAAGAACAATAAGGGAAGAGAAGACATGCGCTAGAAAAAAGATGACATATAAAGAAGACGCGCAACCTCGTCGAGCTATCGCCATTGTGTTAACAGTGGCTCAATATTTTTGCGACTGCGTTCAACCTGGACGAAGACGTCGCGCAGAACATGATTGGAAAAGTGACATCCCTGGATGGTAGCAAAGTTAAGAGTTGTGTCAATAAGGAAAATTGCGGAAAGAAGAACGAGAAACGTGGTGCTATTTTTATTTTATTGGTGAATTGGTCTTTCGAAATTCTCGCCACCAGCAGTGTGATGGACTTTGGCGCCCGAATGTGCCGGCAATAGCGACAAGAGATATCTATTCTGTCCACGTCGGCCGAGCCCAAAGTCAATGCAAGAACTATGTAGCCAGACAAAAGACGTTAGATAAAATGCTATTGCATCAAATTTGATTGACAAAGGCTAGAGTGGAACGAGTATTTGTGGTACCAATAATTTTCAAGAATTTTTAGTCTACTTCCTGACTAGTACTGGGCGTGTTGCTCCCTTTGAAAAAGACAACTATTGAAAACACGTTCTTATGACAGTACTAACTCAAAAACTGCTAGAACGAATATTCGGAAGCAATGAGGTAAATACCGGGTGTGGTTCGCTAAGACAGGAAGTAGCTTTTCCGCTTTTCGCACGCGAAACTTTTTTTTGCTGCGAGAACCTAGAGTACACTACTGATCAGGAGTGAACCTAGGGTCTCGCAGCGGAAAGTTTCGCGTGAAAAGCAGGAAAGTCGCTTTCTGTCCTAGCAAACCACACCCGTATATTCGCGGAAATCTATAGGTCCCTTCGTTTCTTTCTTATGTAAAAAAGCACATAGTGGCTAAGGTAACCATTAAATGATTATAAGGAACATTCTGAGAGGCCATCTCACCTTATCCAAATCGTCCCTAGTAGGGAGACATACAAGTCCATACCGTCTTGGTTTCCCTCGTGCGATACATTGCAGTTCCACAGCGACCAAAGCTTCAGTGTGTGCGGCCATTAGTTCTGCTGTATATACACACAATGAAAATGTAAACAAACCACAGTCGACATTTCCAAAAGAGCCCTAAGTTGCTCGGAAAATATTCTTAATTGTATCCATTATTTAGGGAAAAATATTGATTTGCGAGTGCAAAACATTTTCAGAGCCACCTTTGAAATAAGAAGGTGCAATACATATTAATGACCCTGACTCAAATTGATTGCTTGACCTCACTCAGACTGTCCCCTCCACCCTCCCCCTTGTAAATTAGTTCCTTTCATGAAAGCAGGACAGACTTTTTGTTAACAAAAGAAAAACTTTCACTGTTTACTCTTTACTCCTCCACTCCTCAGAAAGTGAGGCGGCTTTTGATCGAAATTTGTCATTGACTAAGGATTCGGCTAAAAAGTTGTCTGAAAGGACATTCCAACGAGTTTTTAGTCAATTTGGCAACCCAAGGTGCCGATTCTTGTGGGCTACAAGGTGCTTTCACACCACGAATGTGATATTCGTGTTCTAGGAATCAACTACCCGCGGGGAAACTTTCGAGCCAAATGCTCAGTCACGGAAAAATTTCGATAAAAATCTCGCTCAGTTTTTGAGGAGTGGGGCAGTAAACGGTAAATAGTGCCACAAACTTCAAGAATCAGAGCGGAAGGCGGAAAAAATGGGTGCAAACAAAATACCACGTCACTAATAAAAGTATCACAACATGGCCCCATAAAACGTTTTGGAATCAAAAAT